CCCCCCCCCCCCCCTCCCCGGTCTTTGGACTGAACGTCACTGTTGTCGTTGCACTGACAGACGGACTCAGAAAAAGATAAAAAAATGACGGCAATGACGGCGGAACAAGTGGAGAGAGCTGAGAGAGAGGTGATGAAGTACGTGACAGAGGGAATCCACTATGACAATGAGGACGGGTTGAGACTATTACGCGAAAGAGCACCGGCGTACTTCAACGTCACCTTGGACATCCAGAGGTCAATAGCAGCAAACAAAGAGAAATCGACGAGAGCGCAGCAGTTGCTGCATCGCTTACAACAAAGTGCGTACGTGGCTAAAGACGAGACGTTGGCATGTTGCTCTGCGTACACCCTTCAGCGAGTTGTGGAATGGATGTGTGATGACGAAGACAACGACAAGAGTAAGAGAGAGGGAGGTGGTTTTTACGACAGATCGACGTTCAAGAAGTTTGTCACATCTTGGGCGAAGGAAGCTCAAATGTTGAAGACAGAAGCGCATGATATATTGAAGAGTAATGCAGCGGAGATATTGGCACTCAGCAGGATGAACAAGCTACCTCAAACAGAAACCTAGTTATAACCCCTACCTGTATATCTTGCTATGTTTGACTGAGTATATTGCATGCACCCTATACTTGACTTTGGGTTTGACTTTCAGAACAAAAGCCGGACCAAGTAAAGGAATGCATGCGTAACCTCAAGTTTCAGTTTTATTGATTGACTGAAAGCAGATGGTGAAAAAAAGGTTGCATCAGGGAGAAGGTTGGGAGGAAGGCAGTTTTGCTTGAGCTTGAAAGGGTCTTAAAGGGTCAGACATTGTTTCTAAGACGAATGGCCTGACCGCTATGTTTTGTTCTATTTTCTGAAGGGCCAAACATTATTTCTAAGACGAATGGCTTGGTTGCTATGTTTATTTAATTTAACCGGTCATTGTTTCTGAGACGAATGACCTAGTTGTTGCTTCGTTCTGGGGTATTGACTGTGAAAACTTTAAGGACCAGACATTGTTTCTAAGATGAATGGTTTGGCCGCTGTTTGTTTTTGGGTTGTTTCTGAACAGTCTCTGGGTCTTGACCCAGGGTACTCTGCTTTTTTTCAGCACTAAGAAAATAGGATTGGACATTGTTTCTAAGATGAATGACTCAACTCTTTTGGATGTTTTATTCTGAGGGAGACTCGTGCCAAAGACTAGACATTGTTTCTAAGACGAATGGTCTAAGTCTAAGTCCACAGGATTATAATGTGAACAGAGGAATATGATTTTTAATAATTTTATATATATAATTATGAGAAGAGGGCTAGCAAGACATTGTTTCTAAGACGAATGGTCTGACTATAGCCTTATCACGAATTAAGAGAGTGTAACTAAAAGCTATAACTGGGGGTAACTTGGGTCGGCTGAGCATTGTTTATAAGACGAATGACTTAGTCCTACCCTAATTTTTTAACATTAAATTCAGAGAATTATATATAACTTGACTATTTAAACAGATCAGGGCGACTAAGTATTGTTTCTAAGACGAATGGCTTAGCCACATGCCTAATGAAGAGAGAAGTAGTTGTGCAACTTGTTTGTGTATAACTAAGGCAAAGAGTTGACATTGTTTCTAAGACGAATGATCTAACTTGAAGCAATATGTAAGCTGGGTACAAAGGGGTAAATCATTGAAAGACTATGAACTATTGGTTGCCAAGATCGACTTGGGTTGGTGAGAGTATTTTCTTTTATGGTTTGGTCTGCATGTGGCTGAATGAAATTACTACTTAGTCTAAGTTTCAGTTTAATAGGTAGTTGCTTTAGTTGCTCGCCACGTTGTCGGACCAAACAAGGGTATTTGGTCATGCTTTTGCATTTGACACAACGACGACGTCGGCTACCATGAAGGGGCCGGTCTGGAATGGAAAGGGTGTGCGCGCTTTGACGTGACACTTAAAGCGATTCCCTCAGGTCACTGAGGCCGAGGCAAATCGGTGAGAAAATTTCGAACGTATGCGCACGCGTTGTTTCGACGCGCGGTGTGATGATTAGGATTGGTAGTAATACCCTCCGACCGAAAAGGTCGAAGGGTTGATTGGATTAATGTTGTGTCGGGTAGATCTACGACACACACTGAGACTTGGCCTGGTACCTGTCTACCTACCGGTACAAGGTGTTTAAAAATGTCAGCTTTTGTCTTCTTCTACTCGGCCTTGAGTACTCGCCATATCTACTTCTACTTGGTGTGATACTGGCCTACCCACCACTTGAGAGTTTTCCCCGCCGCGACCCTCGATGTCGCGGCCACGGCTACGTACTGGCCCTTCGGGCCTTCCAATTAACCAAGTACCCTGGCGAGTCGCACACACATTCAAGCTGACGCGTACTCGGACAGGGATGCAGGCTGGCAAGTGTGCACACACACAGACTTAGAAACGGGCTCAGGCCACTAGGCGGGTTGAGCCCCACTCCTATACACATACAAGAGTTGCTCCTCTTCTACTCGAAGTAGGAGCTAACTCAGTAGGTTTCGGGGCAAACTGTCAAGTTGGAGATGCAGGGATCGAATCTGCCCCAAAACCGAGTTAGCTCCTTTTTACGAGAAGCTTTACTTTTGTTTTCACCCGCGGACGAACGGCCGGGGCTTGAACCCGCGACCTTGGTGATATAATTAGTTAGAGTTAGTTGGTTAGTTAGCACCGACTTTAGTTGGGGATCGACACTCGGCATTTTATGGTAATTAGTAGTTAGATTTTTAGATGTTGTTCTTTTCTTTTTAAAATTCTTATTTATTTATTTTTATTGTTGAGTTGATTTTTTTTATTTATTTTTTTCCGTGTGAACAAATCGCTTACCTTAGTGTATTTGCCCCGAATATCAGGCAAATTCGTTTCTGGGGAACAATTTTCATCCCGCCGCGATTTTGTCTATCAACGATGCAGTAAGAATTACTGCCGTGGAGAAGCGTTCGCTGCAAGCAGGAGGTAACCGGCGAACATGTAGAAAGCAACAGAGGAAACGCGAGGGGAAAGAGGAGAAGAGAAGAAAGAAGAAGTAGAAGGAAGAAGAAGGAAAGGGGGGAGAAAAAGAAGAAGGCGAGGAAGAAGAAGAGGAGAAGGGGTGAGGGCGACGTACCTGGCCATGTAAAAAATAATGGCAACGTCCTGGGCGAAACAGCGAGCGGAGGTAGTGCACGCCAACAGCGAAGATGGTGCGCCGGGAGCAGTAGAGAGGAGATAGCGAGGGGAGCAGAGGAGATAGCGGGGAGCAGAGGAGATAGCGCGGGGAGTAGAGGAGATAGCGCGGGGACTAGTGGAGATGGTGCGCGGGGAGCAGAGGAGATAGCGAGGGGAGTAGCGGAGATGGTGCATGGCGAGTAATAAAGATGACCGCGCGGGAAGGAGGCGCGAGGCAACGCACGGGAGAGAAGAAGAAGAAAAAGAAGAAGAAGAGGAAGAAGAAGAAGAAGAAGAAGAAGAAGAAGAAGAAGAAGAAGAAGAAGAAGGAGAGAAGGAAAGAGGAGAAGAAGAAAGAGGAGGAAGAAGAGAGGAGGGGAGAGGGACACTCACCGAGCCATTCGTACACTGCCTACCTTATGCGAGGGCAGATGGTGTTATGAGGGAGACTCCCGGGTTGTAGGGAGCATAGTGTTGACGACACTAACGACGACAGCGGAGCGAGGGAGTGGGAACAGGTAGGCCTCCGATCGCGCGGCCCACTCCTCGGTACTCCTATCAGTAGGATGATCAAAATCGAATGAATCTTTCACTGGAACGTGGAAGTATACATTGGCACACGTGTTTGTTTGGCTATGTGCATGTATCTGTGTTTGTGTGTGGGTGATGGTGTGAGTGAGTGTGTGTGTGTGTGTATCGAACGGCCTATATCACATTCCTTTCATCGATAAGTATTAAACAAAATCGGATGAATCTTCGTGGGTGAGTAAAATCGAATGAATCTACCACTAATACGTGGGAACATAGACTACTGTGTGTGTGTGTGTGTGAGTGTGTGAATCGCGCAGCGGATCTGACGCTACTTCCATCGATCAACAGAGCAAACTCGAAAGAATCTACCGCTACAATATGGAACTATACACTATTGCACACATGTATGTGTGTGTGTGTGTGTGTGTGTGTGTGTGTG